ATGATTTCTCTGTCTGACTTTAATTATTAACGCTGATCTTCATTCGATTAATAATTTTATAATTGCCATAATTTATAATTTTTTTAAATTATTATCCTTCCAGGCAATTTGGAATGTAAAATCGGCCAAGTTGAACGTATTTCTCATAAACTTGCTCAATATGCAAGAAAACGCCGCCAATTAGGTTCAATGGCTTCTGGATTAAGCGATTTCTCTTCTTTATTTCCTGGACAAAATTTTTCTTCAAAAAATCTCCAAAATACTTTTGAAGACAAAAGTCTTTCACAATCGAGAACTTCTTTAACTTCAGCAGCAACTGCTCCAGCTATTGCTTATAATGATGAAAATGAAGACGAAATTAAGGATAAATCATCAAAGAATAGATCAAGAAATAGTAAATTTTGTAGAAAAATATTTAAAATTATTCTCCAAATTTTTTAGGCTCAAGAAATGCCGGAAAACGTGATAAAAAGTCATCTCTTCCACCACCCCCATCTCCTCCTCGAAAACATCGTTGTCGTTCTCATTCTTCAGCTTCTGCTTATTGTGGAAGACAACAAGTTTATTGCCGCGGACAGGAAGCAGCTCTTTGCAATTCGAAATTTACTCAGGGAACTATTGTTACGTTGGTTGTAATTATGGCACTTTGGTAGGGATTTTTAAAGGCTTCAATTATTTTACAGTAATTGTCCGCAAAAATCATTTTTATTTTTGCGGACAAATTTTGCAGATTTTTGCTAAACTTTTATATTCTTTTCAGTTTGGTAACTATGTGTACTCTGTATGTCGTTGACTGGTATAATCGTACCTACTTGTCCCCCCACTTTCATCATTACCACCCTTATATGGGAGAAGGAACAGAAAAACAACAAAAACACCAAAAACCTACAGATTCTCAACCAATTCCTTCAGATATTGATAGACCCCCTCCACCAGGCAAAATGAGGGGTCTTTTAGATTCTGATTGGATACCACCTTTACAATCAAATATTTTACCTATTTCTTTGCAATATTGCTCAACAAATTTTGATAAAAACAATCCTTTTATTTCTGGTAATTTTACTGATTTAACTACAAATTATCAGTATATAGATAAAAAAAACTCGTTCTCTTTTGAAAGGCTCCAGCTAATGTCCATATTAGAATTCCGATATTTAATGATCCGTCCTCTAAATATGATTATCTACTATTTTTCAATTACTTCCATATTTAATGTTTAAGGGGGATGATGTGTTCCTTTAACAATTAAGATGTAGTTTTTGAACATCACCAGAGATTTAGATGATTTAATAAAGACAAACTCTTTTTTCATTAGTTATTTCTTTTAGTCCCCTCCTAATTAAAGGGATAATAATTTCACTATCAGAATTACTTTAAAATTCAAAAAAATCCTCCCAACTTCCAAATATATTTTTTTCAATTAAAGGTCCAATAACAAAGCCAAATTGTCAAAACAATTGTTGTCCAATTTCCAAAAATTCAGAGAATTCTGAAAATAAATTAATAGATAAACAAATACAAGCATTATTACAAGTAATTAATTTTAAAATAATTTTTAAAATTAATTTTTAATTTTTAGAATAATAAAAACACATTGTCAAACCTTAATTTCGAAAATGGTGTTAAAATAGAGATTTTAAATTTGGGAATTATTTTGGATAAAAATTATTGTTTATTACAACAAAATTGTCAAAATAATTCTAATAATTTATGTAATACTTTAAATAGTTGTAATTCGAGAATTGGACGTTATAATCTTTATATTCCAATTTCTTCTGATTTAACAACTGCTCCCCTCAGATTAAAAATAAAGTAAATTAATTTTAAATTAAAAATATTTTTTAATGTAAAAAGGGGTTGAATAAAATAGAGATTAGGCCTTATAGTAAAGCAACCGAATCCACCTAAAAAATATAGATAAAACTTTATCCTGAGTGGGGTTACCAAAATGGACCGACTCGGACCGAAAGATCGAGTCGGGCCTAAGATATTTGGCCGAAAAAGACTCGTACAGACCCGACTCGAAAACGGCAACTCTAATCCTGAGCATGGCCTTTGATTGCAGGGGTTACCCGCACAACTTCTCATTTTAGCCTTATCTGATAGGCTGAGAAAGAATTTTGCCTGATTTATTTAATAAAAAATATTTTTTAAATCTTTTTAGTTCTGCCGATCCTTCCCTTTTTGTGGAAAGTTGTGGTTCTCTTTCTGGTTTTCGTTTTAAAGAATGTAATAATTATTTAAATAAAAACGATTTTAATCAAAATGAACAATTAATTGAAGAAGAAGAAGAATTAATTAATGAAGGAGGGAAAAATATAAAATCAAAACCTCGTTCACAAAAAGTTTTTTTAAAGTTAAAAATTATTTTGATTTAATTATTTATAGATTGGAATTAATAATATTTTTGAAATTTCTGCTGGGTCATTTTTGCAAAGTGCTTATAAGTAAATTTTTAATTTTTTAATTAACGAAAATTATTTTTATTGTTCAATAATTTTTGGATTATTTAATTTTGATTAAAAATTTATTTTTTTTAACAAAAACAAATTAAAAAATTAATTTTTCTTCAAATTTAGATTTCGAATTGGGCATTCAACAGGACTTTGTAAAATGGAGGAAAAACAAAAAGGTCGAAGTTTTGACGAATTCAATTTAATTTTCTATAGAGAATGTATTGTTACTACAACAACAACTTCTACTACACTTTTTTAATTAAAATAATTTTTAAAAAATTTAGAATTAATTTAAATTTAGGTATTTAGAATTTTCTTTTAAATTATTATTTTTTTGTTTATAAAAAGAGGAAAAGATTAAATTTAATAATAAATCCCCAAAATTTCTGTTTTTAAAAACTTCAAATTTTCTTATAAAATTCACTGATAATTTTTAAAATTAAATTAATTTTCTCTCCTCTTTTTATTTAATAATTACCACATAATCAGTTATTTTTTTAACTGAGTTTTAAAACAAAATCTGAAAAACATCGCCGAGTCTAATCAACCGAATGAATCTCCTCATTTAATTATTTTCAATTTTCTTTTTCCATTATTTATATATTTTTTAATTAAAAATGAGGACTTTCCCTCTCCCCTCTTTTTTGAAAATGTTTTTTTCCAAAATTTTTTCAAAAAATCCAAAAATTCCCCAAAAATAATCACACTTTCTATTTATTTTTTAAATTCTTTTTTTTGGTGACCAGAAAATTATTATTTGATTTTAAATAAAGTACATAAACCCTTGTATTTAATAATTATAATATTTATTTTTAAATACCCTCTACATTTGAATATTTTAATTTTCTGGTCACTAATCTTTTTAAATAAATTTATTCTTTTTTAACCACAATAAATCGAAAATGAATCGAGCGAAACCCCAATTCCAAGATTTATTCGAGTGTGTTTTTTTTCTTCTTTTTTTCTAATATTTTCTTTTTTATTTTATTTTTAACCTCAAAATTATATATTTAAATTATTTATTTTAATTAATATTTTAATTCTTTCCTTTTTTAATTATTTCTTCCCCCAATTTGGACTGGGTTTTCGCCCCTTCATTTACTTGATTTTGCACTTTTAATGCACAAATAAATATATTTATAGAGATTGAAATTTGTTTTTAAAAATTATTTTAATTCTTTTTTTGTATTTTTCGGTCATTTTTTGTTTTAAGCAAAAATTGTTTTTCAAAATTATTTGTCTAATAAATTTCAATCTTTATATATTCTAATTTTTAAAAGGCCTGTCTGTTCATATTTTTTAATAATATTTTGTTTTATTTCTCCTAATTATTTTTTTAAATATGTTCAAAAATTCTTCAAAAAAATTATTAAATTAACAAATATTTTATTAATATTTTTTAAAATATTTTTTATTTTAAAACAAACAAAGTTGTTTAAAAATTCAAAACCATCGAACTAGTAAATTCAAGTTCTTAAAAAATTAAAATAAGAAAAAATAATTTTTGAACATAAAAAATTAAATTAGGTAATTTAACCTAATTATTTTTAATTCATCCAAAGAATTTTTAACATTTCGAGCAACTTTTTTTAAATTAAAATATTTTTTCTAAATTTACGTGTATATTTAAATTTGCTTTTTTTCCTTCCTTAAATATATAACCACAAATAAAAAATACTCCAAAAATTAAAATATTAATTATTTGATTTGTCGAATAAATTTAAAAATTTATTTTTTTTTGGAATTTAAAAGAAAATAATTATTTTTAAAATTCTCAACTTTTTGTTGAACGAACATATAAAAATAAGGATTCCACCCATTCAATTAAAAAAACTTTTTCCAAATTAATTTTTTAAAGTTATTAACTAACTTTATTGCCAAACACTCCCAGTCTATTCCCATACTTCCATCTCCCATATTTTGATTTTTAAAATTTGACAGGTCCCAATCTCCGATATATTTCCAGACAATAGAATTTAAATGTCTAGAATTATTAATTAGAGAATCAATATATAAATAGAGTAACGTGTAATAAGACGTCTGGTTTTAATTATTTTATTAAATTTTAATTTTGAATATTTTAACAGGAAATTTTTTTTAAGTTCCAAAAAACTTTTTAATTTTTCCAACTTATTTTTGTTTAGATAATCTAATTTATTTTTATTTTAACTCCAAATTATTAAATTAAAACTTTTTAATTTTTAATTAAAAAATTTTATTTAAAATTTAATTCTTGCCCTTCCCACGAGGAGTTGATTGATTTTTTCTTTAAAATTAAAAAAATTCAATAATTTGATTTTTTTATGGGCAGAGAATGTGGGCATTCATTGTATAGGGATAGAGAGGAAAATAAATTTCCCTCTCTCCTTCATTCAATAAAAATTTTTTTTAATTCTTGCTTGCCATCTTACATATTTAATTTAAATAAAATTTAAAAAAAACTTTTAAAATAAATTAAATTCTAAAATAAAAATTAAATTAGGAAAAATTTAACTTTAAAAATATAGGGAAGGAGAGTGAAGGGGAAGCAGGGATTAGTCGCTAATTTAATCTTATTTTAAAAATTTATGCCAAAGTTTTTGTTAAAGAAAAATTTTTGACTTCTTATCCTAAATATATAGGTACCCGACCACATAAGTACCCGAACATCGAGGTACCAGTTCTAAGCCATGAGATATTAGTTATCGGTATAGATGGTAAAATTAGTTGCCAGGGGATAACCGATAAGTAACAAATTTTTAGGACTAAACCTCTTTTAGTTAGGATGAGACATTTCTGTATTTTTTGTGTGATAGAAAAATCTATTATGCCTAAAACTAAATGCCCTATAATTTAGAATTTTTTCTTATCAGAATTTATTATTTTAACAAAAAATTTCTTTTCTACATCCTTTACATTTTTAAGATAACAACCAACAACCTCTTTAAACAAATCAAAAAAACATTTTATTATGCGCCTTTGGCGACTCCTTATTTATTTTACACTTTTAAATGTTTACTTTATTTGTGTTGAAACTTTAAAAGGTAGTAGGGAATATTTGTTTTTAGAATTTTTTGAAATTTTAGTTGATGGCAAGTTTGAAAAACAGAAAATTGATGAAGTGAAACCAAAGGAATTGAAATTGGAAGCAGAAACTAAACGTATGACTTTTAGATGTTCGGTGAACACAGTTATAGTAAAATCCGTGATATTTTTTGGTTTATTGTTGGGCAAAAAATCCGATAATTTATCTTGTCAGAACATAAAAATTAAAATTTTAACACTTCAAGATTAGAATACAAAAAATGACTAAATGTTATCTGTCTATGTATATTAATGTTGCGAATATTCTTTTAACCCCAAGTTATTAGGGAACCAGGGAGGTCCTCAATACATATTTTAAAATGTGGAGGAAGGAAAGCACAATAAAGAGTCCATGTAAAAACTAGGGATTTTGCCGACATAAGAAATAAATTTTTTGATATCCTAATCGGAATGGCAGTATCCCTAGAAAAAAGCATTCCCTAATATTTACAAAAAATTTCAGTTGAACCAAACGTGGATTTAAAATCAAGCACAAACCCAGACGAGAATTTGAATAAAACTTTTAAAAAAATTAAATCATTGTGTGCTCAATCAAAAATTGACAAAAAGCCAATAAAGGGAGAAGGAAAAGGGAAAGGAAAAGGATTTAAAATCCCTAAAAAACTTAAAATGCCAAAATTAAATTTTATGTCGAAAGTTTTAAAAGTTATACCGAAGGAGTATAAAGTAAAACTTGAAAAATGTTGTGGAAAAATAAATGATAATCCAGAATCTTTAGAGGATTGTAGAAGTATTTTTAATGAAGGAATGGAGAAAATTGAAAAGGATAAGACATTTTTAAAATATTCAGGAGAAGGAAAAAATAAAAAAAAGAAATCAAAAACCGAGAAAGCCCTGATGAAAGCAATTGGAATTTATAAAGAACTTAAAACTTATTATAACAAGGATACAAAAAGTCCAGGTAAAATATTTTTATTATAATCTGTTGGCGGAACAATGTGCCTAACCAAGTATCTATGGATCCCGAAAACAAAAGTGTTTGAAACCAAACCACAAACTTGGCAAAAAAAAGTTTTTTAGAAGGAAATATGTCCGAAGGATTATTTCTTGGAAACTAGTAGATACCGTATTTCCTAAAATAAAGCCCCATGCTAAATTAGTGCCCCACCCTAAAATAGAGCCCCACTTTGGAGGATAGTTCAAATTTAGAGCCCCATGCTAAATTAGAGCCCCACTCTAAAATAGAGCCCCACCTCACTTTTTTAAATTTACTTTTATTCCAAATTGGTAAACAAAATTGTTAAGATGTGAGTAAAAGGGGAGAGGGGTTGGATGAGTAAATGGATGTTAGTGAATTTGGGGATTAAAAGGGATATCGAGAGATTAAAATTAAGAGGGTTGGGGGAGCTATTTTGGATTAAGGGACCTTCCCAGAGCAATCCGAAGTTTAGCACAAACTGCCATTCTGAGAAAATCCGGTTAAGGAATTTAAGTGTCCATTCGGGGGATATTGAATGAGGCAAATTTAAATGGATTATAAGTGATATTGTAATATTTTGGTGAGTAAAAGTTGTCAGTCCGAAAAAGGATGTCAGTCAGTCCTAGTGTCTGATTCTGAGGGAAGACGTCTCCCGATCAAAACTCCCCTATATCCCACGCTTGCCTATGTCCTATACTTTGCGGAGTTCACACAAGGACGCTTGTGAAACTCCAATCCAATAACCCCATTTTGAAGGCATTGGGAAACGGGACCAACCGCTTTATTATTATTTATTAAGAGTTTAAGGGGAATAAAGGGATTTGAGGGAATAAAGTATTATTGAACATTAGGGTATTTTAAGGCGAAATTTTTGAGAGCCTTGGAAGGCCAAGGAGTTAGCTTTCTTTATTTTCAACGCCGCAGAAGAAACTTTTGGAAAGATAGACAAAATCTTAAGTCTGCAAAAATTATTGAAAATCGAAAATTTTTCCTAAATTTCGTAAATAAAAAGAATCTATTTTTCATTTTTGTAATTTGAAAAATAGGTTGAAATTTAGAGCCCCATGCTAAATTAGAGCCCCACCCTAAAATAGAGCCCCACTCTGGAGGATAGTTGAAAAATAGAGCCCCATGGGGCTTTATTTTAGGAAATACGGTATGTTAGAAATAGGAAGTCGGAAATCGGAACTAGCCTATATAAACCAAAAAGCGGAAATTAAAAAAATTGAAGTCGGGATTCCGATCCGACATATTGG